TATTACGGTAACGAACAAAAATTTGGTGTCCTTGTCATACCGTTTCATGGTAGAATGGAGCCATGATAGATGACTCATCGCGTGAATGGGAAAGACCAAGAGTGTGACCACCTTCATGCATTGCCACAGCTAGAAGATCCGTGTAGTCACCACTGAAAGCTGTTTGTAAACTGAATAAGACATTCTATTGGATTTAGTGCTTTGTTTGGAAACGATTCAAGTTAGATACAGCAATGGGTAAGAGAAGATAGGCGAAGATCTCAGAATATTTGGCCATAGACTTCTCGTTAATGATTTGTAGCGTTGTTCAATTTGCTTAGAGTAGCAATGTGAGCCCTTCTCTGATCCTGACTCCTGTCGTTTTGTCCACAACAGCCAAAATTGGCCTCACAGAGATGAGACCAATTTTGGCTGTTGTGGACACCTCACTGGACTGAGCGCTTATTTTCCCCTGCTATCACAGCCTAATGATAAAACACAAGCTCAGGAAAAGCGGAGAACGGGCAAGAAGTAAATCTAAATCGCTGATTAGCGCCATAGGTGGTCTATGCGCTGAACATATGTATTTGGGTTAGCTGCAAGCGAAACAGGACGAGGTGGGGGATATTGACTTCATGTTTACCTCGCAATTTTTTTCGCATCCATGTAAGTCCAATTCTCGTCGTCGTCAAAATGCAGAGCACCGTTTTCTGGCATGGTCGCATGTGCTAACACACCTCCTAGAACGATTTGTTACAATCTTCCGCAAAAAAATAGGATAAATGACTGGAAACAAGCAAAGTGAAAAAATTCAAAAGTGTAGCAGAATAAGCTGTAAACATTGTTATCAAAAATCTGGCTATTTTAATGTATTTAGACAATTCTGCAATTCCAAAATGAATCTCTGAAATCTGACAATGAACATGTGTCATGTGTTTCTCGTTTTAATTTTGTAGTACCTGGCTTTCGTCCAAAAATGGCACGTTCGAACAATTCAAGAGTGCAATTAGTGCTCATTCTTTTAGATTAAAGATAAGATTTAAAGTTGCTGTTTTCTCTTACGTTTAGCGAAAAATAGCACAATAATCTATCTCAGTCTCAATATCTAACGAAATTGAGAGACTAAAGAAGTAATCTCGAGCAAAACTAATGATATATGATCAGAAATAGAGGTCACGTTGCTTCAAAAGTCTACTACTTGACTTTAAATAATTATTTTCCAGGAATTTTACCATTGTCCTTGTTGTTCAAAACTTATCTGACACTTCATTTAAAAATGTACAATTGAATGTAAATTAGGATTAAAAGCTTCTCAGTAAATAGTCCCTGACTCAACTTCATGAAGATATTCACAAC